TTCGGTTTTTTTTTTATTATCATTGTATTATTTATCTCACACAGTTGGCTACCAAGGGTACGTTTGAGAAAACCCACCCAGCCCAACCCTCTCCGCCGCGCGTGGGTGGTTGTTTAAAGGAGCTTTCAGCACTTCCATTTCGTAAGTTGAAAAACGTTAGAACATGAAGGTGTTGGAAATATCTTGTTTGGTGTCAAGGTTTTGGGGGGAAATCAATGAGTATCAAAAGAAAATACTATAATAGTACCTTGCTCCTCTCTCATTTCTTCATTGCCTTCGTTGGGGAGGCAAGGCTGATGCTATTTGCTGTTTAATTATTCTTGGTTTTTTAGTGAGACTTTTTGAGCTTTTTTGTCATTTTGATTTAAAAAGGGTTTTATCTCCTTTAAGAAAAAGACTTTCTTTGTACCGATCGTGAACGACGCTCTGTCAGTGAATCTTTCTTCTCATTGGGCAGGACTGCCGGTTGGCTTTTGGTTTTTTGCACATTTTCTAACAGTAAAAATAATGATAATAATAATTGTGGAGCTAATAGAAAAATAACAGAAATATTAATAACAGTCATAAGCAAATTATCATGGAACTATTAACAATTAGAATAACAGAAAAATAATAGAAATATTAACAGTTATAATAAAAGAAAAATAATAGAAATATTAATAGTTGTAATAACAGAAAAATAATGAAAATATTAACAATTAAAATAACAGAAAAATAATAGAAATATTAATAGTTGTAATAACAGAAAAATAATGAAAATATTAACAGTTAGAATAACAGAAAAATAATAGAAATATTAATAGTTGTAATAACAGGAAAATAATAGAAATATTAACAGTTGTAATAGCAAAACTGCAATGGAAACATGAATAGTTGTAACACCAGAAAAATAATGGAAATATTAACAACGGAATTATAGTGGAAATATTAATAACAGAATTATAATGGAAATATTAACAATTATAATAACAGAATTTTAATGGAAGCATGAACAGTTGTTATAACAGAAAAAAAAATGAAAATATTAATAACGGAATTATAATGGAAATATTATTAAAAGAATTATAATAACAGAATTTTAATGGAAATATTAACATTTTTAACAACAGAACAGTAATAAAAATAACCATGCTGGTATTAAAAGAATAATAATGGAAGAATCAATGATGGTAATAACGGAACAAGGATACGAATATGGGTGATGCTAATAGTAAATATTAATGGATATAATACTGATTATAATAACAATGCAGCACTAACTGTAAACGCTTTTTTTTCTTGCACTAATACTATTGCAGCGGCCATTATCAACTCAAGGTAATAATGATAAGTACAAAAATATCAATATTTACAAAGAGTGTAAATTCAAATCAATTTTTTTTCTTCGTGTGTGGAACTATTATTAATAATAATACTATTGTTAATATTTTTGCTACAATGAGCGCTAGACTTTATACAAGTGGAATTTTTTCATCCAGAAATGATTGCGGTAAGAAGTGTTTTATTGATTGTACGTTTAGGAACTTGGCCTGCTGAGTTCCCTTTGTTTTATTATGACCTGCTGCTTTCACCCTTCATTGGTGTGTTTCGACTTTCCTTTTTTTTTTCTCTTTTTTTCTGGCTTGCTTTTTTTTAAAAAAAACAGCTTTAGCGAAAAAACATCATACCTGACCCTCTCGATACGGAGGATTTCCACCTTTGTTAGCAATATTATTTTGACGTTTTAAGTCAAAAATGTGGAACCCCCGACCCGCTTATGGGCCACATGGTGGCAATACAAATGCTGGATTTCTTCCACCGATTAATGCTTATTCTCAGCAGAATTCATCCGCCTACAATTATGGAAATCGGTCGTTTGGTCCTAATGGGTCTTTCATGATGGGTTCATACTCGAATAGCAATGGATATTATCCAGGGCAACGTGGGTCTCAACTCTACGGGCATGAGCCCAGCCAACCGCGGCCAGCCGTTGGTGGTCGAATGCCCCCTGTACAAAATAGTGGAAACTATCCTTTTGTTCGCGATGGGATGTATGCCCAGAATCATCTACAGAGGAATAATAGCTTCCTGGGTAAGCCTATGGCTGGAGATGGAAATTTTTCGTATTCCCAAGGGCAAGGAAACAGTAGCTGGATCCAGCAGCCTGGACAGATTCCGAGAAATGATAGTTTTATGGGAGGGCAACAAAACGGGGGCGGGAGTTTTATGTATTCCCAAATGCAACGGAACAGTAGCTGGATGCAGCCCCCTGGTCAATTTCCGAGAAATGATAGTTTTATGGGCTCCTCAAATCTGATTGGGAGGAACAGCGGTTTTGGCGGTTCGGGACTTCAGAATGCTGATAGCTTTGGCGGAGCTGGCTTTAGCCGTTATGGCAGTATGAATGGGATTCATTCGTTTGACAGCTTCTACGCAGCGAACCAGCATCAAGGAAGAGATTTCTCCGCACCTCCTCCTCCTGGGCAACAGGAGAGACAAGGTCTTGCCTTGCTTCTTCGTAAGCAAAGTGTTCTTCACAAGGGAAGAGATACTATTGGAGGTGAGAACCAAAGTATTGGTCGCCGTAATGGGGGGCTTACTTTTAAAGGGGTCATTGATGACGAACGATAAGGTTCGTTTTTCGAACTGAGGTGAAGCAAATGCCTGATCAATCGGAGAAGCTTTTCTTTTCAATTTCTCCTCTTGGTGTTAGGTTTTGGGGTGTATTGTGGTCGCTATTTTACAGTCAATGTTTCGTATAGGAATGTGAAGAAAGTGTCTTAGGTCTCTTTTCTTCCCGTCCTTACGCAGCTTTGTCACTGAAATAGTCAGTATCGTGCCTCATTACACAATCTGCAGTATAATCCGTGCATTTTGTTTCTGTTTTGTTTTTTTTTTTGTTGTTGGGAGGGGAGTGCTTGCTCAGGTGTGAGAGTGAATGTGATTTCCCTTGTTCTTTTTTTGGCTGGGGTTTCACTCCCTGAGTCCAAGTACATAAATAAAATTCCGCTGGTTGGTCTGATGTGATTGCGGAAGGTGTAAAAGAATTTACGCTTTCCCGCTCCACATGGTGTGCCCGCCTTGTCCTTTTTCTATGATTTCTTCGTGTTTTTTGTGACTTGTTTTGACTTCTTTTTCTCTTGTGTATGATGTTACTCTCTTCGCGGATGCTCTTGGCTGCTTCGATGAGATTCTGAGACCTAGTTTCCCTTTGTATGAAGGCAACTGTTTTTTCGTTCGTATTGCAAAGGCGGCTCAGATTTTTTTTTTTT